GATGTACATAGAAATAGATTATCAGAAATATTAAAAAATAAAAATATATTATACTTTGTAAAATTCATACAAGAATTCCTTTACCAATTGAATCGATTCACGGTGAATTCACATTACTAGTAATTTCGTCTGAAGCCATAAACAATAAGATAAGTAAAATGAAATCGAGTCATCAAGAAAAAAATATTGTATATACACATAGGAACAATTCAAATAATAGTAAGATCACAATTTAAAAACAATATCGATTCACCATAGGATCAAAATAATTGGTTGTCAAAAAAACGATAAAATAATCGGAATAGTAGATAGCAATTTAAAATACCCAGTTGTCAAATTTAACGTGGTCTGTCAATATGACATCCAATTAACAACAAAAAACCTTAACAATTCAATCATAATTATCTACTATTTCCAAAGACACGATCTTATGGAAGATGGAGATCATCCGCTATCAATTATGCACGATGTTGGATACGCCTTATCCTAATATGTACATTGTTTAAAGAAATAACCACTGTTAAGTTTATACAAAATAAAAATATAAATGATCAAATAAATAAGACATATAATCCACATTTAAAATTTTTGGACCCTAGCTCTAGTGGATCAAGAGTAGCTAGAAACGAAACCATCAACGAAAGAAGAAAATCAGTTAGTAGTTTGTATGAGTTACAACAAATAAATCATAAACTAAATAAATTAGATCGATCTATACTAACAGTAGATAACAAACTATGGAAAAGTTGGGTCAGAATTGGTATTAGAGCTATCAAAACTCAATAAAGATAGTAATAAAATTGAAAAAAGTTAATGAACAGAAACAAGAGCATATAAAATTACTATGTGTAGTTGTAAATAAGAATAAATGACGAGCATTAGAATACTCAAAAGAGGAAGGAAAGAAATCAAAATAATAGAAAACTGATAAATTTATAAAAATGGATGAATTTATAGATCAAACTATCGAATATCACCCTGAGTTATACCAGGAATACTCTATAAAGAAAAATTATACCTGTTAGAAACGAATCTGATGGAGAACACTGAATATATGATGGTAGAAAAAATAAGAGAAGATAATCATTTGTTGAGAGTAATATGTGGAATACTAAACAATCAACCCAAAATAATTGGTAACATATCATTAAACCAAATTAAAATAAACAAAATAGTGCAAGAAAAACTAGATCAAATTATAGATTCAGTTGAACATATTGAAGAAATACTAAACGAACATGACACATTACAAGGATTACATGACGTATTAATAACAGTAAAAAATCTAACATAAACCATTAATAAATTAACTGAAAAATTATGACAGAAAAACTTGGAGATCAAATAAAAATAATACTACAAAAAACTCAAAAAATTGAAAAGAAACAGGATAACGATTTAGAACGACTGAAATTGCAGAATAAAAGACTTAAAGAAATGATAAAAGATTACAAACAATTGAGTAATAAGAAATTAGAAAAAATAAAAAGATTAAATGAAAAAAAAAATAGAAAATAACAAATGTATAGAAGACTTAGAAAACAAAGAATAAAATGATTTTGGACAACCAACATATATAATAAAACTAGATATGGACCCGTGCGTTGCACGGGTTTTGATTAATGTTTTATAAGTTTAATAAAAAAATAAAAATAAGAAACTTTTTTATTGAAATTGAATGTTTTTATATATGGTGTGTCGAATTCATTTTAGGAATCAAAATTCGGTTTTTTACATAAGTTTTGGTTAAACTTCAATTCAATAATCATGGCACATATACGTAGAGCTAGAGAAAATAAGCGAGATCCGAAAGTTCAAATTAAACGCAATCTAAAGAAATGTAAATTAGAGTGAAATACAAAGAATTTGAAAGGTGAATCAAGCCAATCAAGTATATGATAATGGAATATACTTTATTAAACTCTTAGTTTTGTCTTTATTAATTTGCTTTTATTCTTCTTACTCAAACATATTATGAAGTTTCAATTGTAATTTAGTAATGCTTNAATCTTAGTTGTATAGGTAATAGAAAACATTATATATCAGCATTTTATCATCTAATTTAGAGGTAATAAAACTATTAATACCTTATGAAATTTTATCCTGTTTTGATTCTTGTAGCCACAAAAATATATGTGTTTTATAAAAATTATGTTTTAAAATCTCGATTGTATGAATAATCTTTTATGAAAATATATTGTATTAGTACATGTTTTAATAGACATGAAAAAGAAACAATCATTAAAAAGATTTTTATTTTATTTCATTTCAAATATATGATATTCAATATTGAATATATATTTTAGAGTCTTGTTTCTCTCTTTTAATGGTCTCATTGCATGACGAAATCCAGCAGCCAATTTCAAGTTTTTTCTTACTTTGAATATGCAGCTATATTAACAAAATTTTCCAGAAAAGAAATATGCATATAATATTAAATTATTATTTTCTGCACAAAACAATTAATTACATAACTATACATATATCCTTTTTAATAAAATAATAAAAGGAACTAAATATTTATCTTTACATCAACTAAGCGAAAATTTATTCCTATTTGTTCTTTACTTTTTTTTTCAAATTACTTACTTCTCACTTTTTAGTAACAATAAATAACTTTCTTACTACTGATTCGTTTTAAATAATTTTACGAATTCATTATTTTTGATGATATATTTTCATTATAACAACTTAACTAAAAATGAATTATTAAAGCAGAGTAATCACAAACAAAATGTAATAAGGTGATGCATGGAACTTGATTTGTTTTAACCAAACACATATAAAGATCAATTATGGTTATAATATATTAATATTTTAAATGACTGAACACTAAAAATTATATCAAATAGGTTTTTGATTTTCATATGACCAAACACAAAAAAAACTAAACATGACAACATCCTAATTTTCATATGATTATTCATAAAAATGTGAATACAGTTAAACGCTACAAAAATACTAAAATAAAAATAATCGAAATTATATTAAGCTACCTTGAATTCATTTAAAGCACATAGCATGCTTTAACAAAGGGGATAGAACTAAAAATGAAAAAGAAAGACATCTACTGTTTTTAAAATAGATAATAAAGCATTGATATATTATAAATTTTAAAGATTACATGAATCTAAATGTTTTGAATTTTTCTAAAAAGTGTCGCTTGTTTCTTCTTACCTTTGTGTTTCGTTCTTTTCTTTGTTATTTTCACAATATTATCCATAGAAATTGACTAAACAGAAAAAAATAAAATTCAAGTAATGAAGTTACAGATATAATATATCTACCTAACATAAGATATAGTATATTTACTTTTATGTGTTTATGAATCTTTACAACTTTGATAAAAAGATTGAATTTATCCTTTTTAACATTTATCTCAAATAAATAAATTTCATCCATAATTAAATGTACATTCTTTGTAAATATCTTATAATCCTTGTTCATGTGTGTTTATTTTAAACTGTCAATATTGATTAGTAGATAAAATTATAATAACACAAATAGCATGCACAGATTATTATATTTTTAATATTTAAATCTTAGTTCTTCCACAGTTGTTCCAGTTATATCTATATTATTATCATCAAATAATTTCCATCATCGACTATTATTTCAATTTTGTAACTGAAGAAAATTGATTAGTTTTAAACTTTGATAATAGATCAGTATATATCGATATATTTATTTATTTGTAATTATATATTAGTTTTAAACCTTATAGATAAATATCAATGTGTATCGATGATATAAAACAATTATAGTTTTGTTAACGGTGGTTAATTATATTAATACAAATTGTGAAAGAAATTACATAAGCGTTCTACAGTCAACAATTGTACGCATTTTATAAGGATTCACGTCTACATCCCCATAAGTTTTACATAGGACTCACAACATACATATTTTTTGTACAATGCTAAAATTATCTTATAAACATTTTGTCCAGTAAACTGATAATTTTCCTTCTCACAAACTCAAAACATGGACCTGATAATGTAGAAAAATTAATCTTTAGTCAAACCTAGACCAATGGGCTTCCATAAAAAAAATAGTTAATTATATGAAAATAATAAAAATATTTTTACAGTTCTCTTTTTGTTTGGAATTTTAAAGAAAATTATTTATTTTAAACCAATGCCTATTGATTTTTTAATTATCTTAACCCATGTTTTTTGACTTTTCAAATATAATTTTATTTTAAATAAATACTACAACTAAAATAAATTTATAGACTTCTAATTATTTTAAACACATATAATATTTGGTAGTGCAAATAATATTCTACAACTAAAATAAAATTATAATAAATTTTGGTTTTAGAATTCTCTTTGTAAAATCTAAAATACTATTATATTTATAAGAATTTTAAGATTTTATTTTGTATATAAAACTTCAAATACTGTTTTTCTTTGTAATTATTTTAAACCCATGCTTAGGAAAATAAATACTAATATTAATATCGATTTTTTTTTGTTTACAATATTTTGTAAAAATTAGAACAATATAAAAATTACTATTAATAACTATTTCTAAGAAAAATTTTGAATTCCTTTTTTTAACTTAAAAAGGAAAAATTAATATTAAATAATTATTTTTAAGAAAAAAATAAATTCGTTTAGTTTGAGTATTTTTTATAAATAAAATTGTAAGAAAAAATTAAATTCGTTTTTAGTTTGAGTATTTAAAAAGGGAAAGTTATGATTTAAATTTGTTTAGTTTATGTGTATTTTTAAGAAGGAAAATTGTAAGAAACAAATAAATTCGTTTAGATTAAGTATTTAAGTAAAAAAAAAGGAAAAATTCTGATTTAACATATGTCACAATCTTAGATATGTAATTACCAAATGTCACAATCATGTTAATAAATAACTTTGAAAACCAAGCTTTATATAATAAGATGGGAGAGGGGGGGGGGGGGGAGAAGCGAGCAATGACCGGTTTTGTAGACAATTTCTACAAATTGTTAAAAACTTTTAGATTCATTTCCTAAACTAAAATATTATACACTTACCATTGCGACTGAATATATTTGATTAGTACAAGATGATTTCTATTCAATTCATATGCATCTAAAACTAAATCTGTGTTGATAATGCAACAATAACAAAATAAAAAAAATCCTTCCAAGTGTTACAAATCTGCTATCTTAGTGTACAAAGTTTGATAAATCTAACAATAAAGATCCCAGCGATTATAACCCAAAGCACCTTGCCAAGACCAAAACCAAAACTGTAGTGTAGCACACACACTCTCTGGTTGGTACTTAAATGTCCAAATCATCATCAGGGTCCTCATCAGAATCCGGATGCTCATCGTCCGAATCTCTGAAATATATAATCTCTCCACCTTTACCTGATGAAACCGCATCAGTCTGTAACTCTCCTGAAGACAATGGTGTTGCCTCAGTCTTGCCATCCGCAAGATTTCTCCGCCCATCATAAATCTCCGTCGATTTTTCATGATCTGAAGAACATAACCATACCAAAAATGTTTTTATCTACACAATCTCAGACATCAATGAGCTTACAATTCTCTGACTTTACCACCAAATGTGATGTACAACTCTTACCTTGGTGCTCAAAAGGGAGGATAACTTTTTCTTTCTCAACGCGTTCTTTCTCAGACAACTGTAGATTGAAGTGAACCTGAACAAGAAGAACAACTAACCTGAGACCACACAAAATAACCAAAGGAGATAAGAAGAAACAAAAAAGCAAAGTAAGATAACTTGCTTTAGGCAAAAGGCTTTTGGTGGCTGCAATAACAGATTCGGCGGAGGAAATGGGAGAAAAGTTTATACCAATTTGATCAACATGATACTCTTCAGACTGTAAGGTAAAGCGTTACAAGGTTTGTTAACTCGATATGATACTCATATAGGTTACAGATAGTAGAGCAAGAGAGAACATTCACCATTACTCTGACGCGTCCCTTTCTAAGCTTAAACCGGACATGGAACCATCCTCTACCAAAATCCTGATGAACCAAGAAGAGGTTTTCCAAAGCATTCATTTTCCCCTCGGAAGATGGACACAAAGGTTCTAAGTTGGCTTTCATGGTGGATATATATTCCAGTGCATTGGTGACCTTCTCTTGGTGAAGGTCAGTGTTTAATGACCAAAACAAACTGGAAACTTGTGCTGCACCAACAAAATTCAACCTAAGAAGGAATAAAAGCTAATAAAAATGGTTTCTCAGGTTTAGGTAGCAAAGAATGAGAATATACCGTGGCTTCGAAGATCTGTTAAAAGACTGGAAACTAATGGCATGGATGAATGTCTTAGCAGTTCATTCACCTGATTCAGAGTATTAACATTTAACCGTATAAAATCATCACTTCTCATCTCTCAATAGTTCATGCCTAAAACTCCAAAGAAAGAATTTTCTTACCGAATCTATGACAACAGAGAAACGTGTCTTCCCATCTCCAACCATCTCTACAGTAAAGGAATCAACTTTCGATCTCATATAACCCTTTTTATCAAATTTTGTTTTTAAATTAGGATGCAATGTTCAAGAAGTACCTCTTCCTGCTTCAATGACTGAAGAAAAAAGCCTCTTAAAGTCACTAACACCCTTTTGCATCTTAATTAAACTTAGAAGACCAGTGGAAGGTTGACCAATCCAGCCTAGAGGATCAGTGTAGCAATCCAAAACACGAATCCTTCAAACCCAAAACCAATCCGTAAAAAAAGTATCAGAGATAGTATCTACAGGGAATGAAATCTTTTTTTTTTTTTTTTTTTTTTTTTTTTTTGAACACACTACAGGGAATGAAATCAAACTCACCATTTAGAGGATGAAGAGACAAGAATTCCTTGTTGCTTCAAGAAGTGCAAATAGAAGGAAGGGCTCCGAGAGAATGTGATGAGGACGAGGCCCCTGCATCGCAACGAAACGAAGATTTCATGAAAACTCGATACTGAAGCAAAAAAAAAAGAAAAAAAGAAAAGAGATTTGAGTTTAGTGTCTCGAGGACGTACTCCGACTTCGATTTTCCAGCCAGGATTGATGAAGATAGATTTGCGAGGAGATAGCAGGAGACATCGAGAGCAAAAGGGGAAGCAACAGTTTCCTCTATGGTCAGAGCTGGCGCAAGCTCGCCTTCTTCTCCACCGTCTCTTAGCTTTCTGAAAATCGAATCCGCCATTGCTGAGAGTCGTCTCTCCGGTCAGAAAAAGCTTGGAACTTCAAAAGGGAAGCTAGAGAGGAGGGCGGCGAAGAAGCAAGCAAACAAGCATCGATACTAAAAGGATTTTTGGGTTTTGTGAAATACCCAATGGGCTTATTTAGTAAGCATTCAAAGTGAAACAAAACAGCGTCACCCGTTTTATCTGCCACTCAAACAAAACAGTGTGTCGTTTTTTTGATGCTTAAACAACGTCAACCATTTTATCTGCCTCTCAAAGAAACGAAATCAGAAGGACAAAAGGTTTTAAGGCCGGAGGAGTTGGGGAGTGATCTGGATCCACCGGCGAACAAGTAGAAAGGTATCTATTCTTCTTCTATATGGATCTCTCGCTTTCTTCTTCCAATAAATCACTTCTACATTCCTATCTCATTTTATTGGTTTGATTTGGGGGAGAAGTAGCTGTCTTCTTGTTAATGGGATGAAAGGGTTTGATTGGGGGGAGAAGTATCTGTCTTCTTGTTAATGGGATAAAAGGGTTTGTTTGCATATTTAGGATTCTCGATAGTATTGCACGGAAAGTGTTCGATGTATTTCCTGTTCAGCCCATCGTTTGGTTCCACGTCCCATCGATGGTTTGTGATGAATATATATATATATATGTGAGCGAAATAATACTTCTTTCGAGTTATGTTTAGACAACTTAGGTACTGTTCCTTGTGCGTTTGAGCGGTTGAGAGACGAAAGTTGCTGCCTTCATGTATCTATGAGATTTGATCTAAGCACCCGTTTGTTTCCAACAGTAAAACCCTTTTGGTTTTTTGTTTTTAACTTGGTGATTCAGACAAGTTAAGAGATTTTTTTTTTCTGTTTTAGACAGGTATTCTTGTGGCAAACATTCTCAGTAGGAGAAAACGGGAAGATGGAAGCCAAGTTCTTTCGATTCTTGAAGATTGTTGGAGTTGGATACAAAGCCAGAGCTGAGGAAGCAGGCCGTTTCTTGTACCTCAAACTGGGTTACAGTCACGAAGTCGAACTCGCGGTTCCTCCTGCTGTTCGGGTCTTCTGTTTCAAGAACAATGTGGTTTGCTGCACCGGGATCGACAAGGACAGGGTGCATCAGTTTGCTGCCACAGTCCGGAGTTGCAAACCTCCTGAAGTTTACAAGGGCAAAGGCATAATGTACATCGACGAAGTTGTCAAGAAGAAGGTAGGAAAGAAGTCCAAATAATCTTTCCTTTCCTTTTTCTACTTTGCGAACAACTTTGGTCATTTTGGTGATTGACTTGGGATTTACTTCTTATAATAAGTTTTAGTTGGATGTATTGAACATCATTTTGTGTGTCCACTTTCAATCAAACAAGGTTAGAATATTGTCTTCAAACGTAGATGTATAATTGTAGAATCATTGTTACAATTAAGACCGAAAGAAAAGATTCTATGTGTCTGCGGAAGTGAATCTTCAGCTGTAAACACTCAAGCAGAACATGCAGTTACACAATAACGGTAGTTGAGTACCACAGAGATTAGTCAAGCATGTAAATTCTGGAGGCAATGTCTTGAACCAACCAATCGAATCCTTCCAACAAACCTTCACCTGTGTATGCGCTGCAGCCAACGATTTTCCAGTGCCTGCTTTTATCCATGGACTCTAAGTTTAGCACCTGCACAAGCAAGAAGATGAAACTCAATTTTGCACAAAATATAACGTAAACATATCTCACTTCACCCACTAATCTTCACTGAAACCAAGTACTGTAATCTAAATCTTTTTCAAAACAAAGAGGCAAAGATTTAACCCTAAACACATATCTCATTCCACCCTATTATCCTCACTGAAACTCTGGGTTTTAAATAGTGTGTGGCTAACAAAGGCGATGAGGTGCTCGACTCTCACCAAGCGCCATGGCGAGGCAAGTCGATCGCCATGTGTAAACACATGCAAAACAATTATGATCTATTTCTAACTCTATGTTAGATTAATCCATTGATAAAAAAAGTTAAATGAAAACCAAAACACCAGTTCCATTGGTAACATAAAAGCTTAAAGCCAAAACACCAATTCAAAAGTATTAAAATCTAATATAGCATAACTAAAAAAATTTTTTTAACACTCAGTACCTAAAAACCTAAAACTCTATTTAGTGATTCAGAATTTTGATTGATAAGAAATTAAGCAAGTAAAGTACATCTTTTAGAAACAAAGAGAGAGAGAGAGAGAGATAAAGATTGAACACTAAAACACATATCTTGCTTAACATCCACTCTACCTCAGTCCTCACTGAAACCTAGAAAGAAACTATTTCAAGACAAAGATTAAACCCTTACTTTGCCAATTTCTTCAGGTGTAAGAGCACCTTGAATATCCTGCTTGTTTGCTAATATCAACAAAGATGACCCCGCAAGCCTCTGCCCATTAAAACCACCAAGATCAGTATCCAAAACTCATTCCACCATTTGCATACAGATCATCATCTTCGTCACAAACAGAAACAAAGCATCACACTGCAAAGTTTCATACCTCTTCCTTCAAGAGATTGTCAAGCTCCATCTTGCAATCATCAAGCCTCCTGAGATCAGAGCTATCCACAACCCAAACCAACCCATCAGTCTGCTCAAAGTAGTTCCTCCAGTAAGATCTTATAGTCTTTTGGCCACCCACATCCCATATATTCAGCGTATACCTACACACACACACACATTGCCCATAACATGTTTGATGATATTCCTCAAACTAAAAGCAGTTTTGTGAAAAAAGGAGCAGACTTTTGGTAAATAATGGTCTTGATGTTGAATCCAAGAGTTGGACTGATCACGCTTGTGTCTTCTCCGTTCATTTTCAGAACTATCGTCGTCTTCCCAGAGTTATCGAGTCCACTACAAACACACCACCAAAATCATCAAGTTAGAGAAAATGTATATTTAGATCAGACAAGAGTTTACAAGACATACACCATAAGAATACGCATCTCCTTCTCCTTCTTCTTGATCTTTCGGATGATGCTTAACAGTCCCATTTTCTGTTTACTCGAATTACACAACAGAGCTTTGATTATTAATATCAGAATGAGACTCGAACACTAATATATGATTCCAAAAACGTTCTTACCGAGGCTATCGTCGACGTTTTCTTCCACCGACGACCACGGAGATCGGGGAGTCTGAACGGAGAAGAAAGTTTGCAACAAACCGTTTGGGCCTTTTTAAATAAAAAGTAGGTCCATTAATGATATGATAAGAATGGGCCCTATTCTAAGTGTTGGGATATGGAACCGTTCGATATCTCTAAACCTTTTTTATAACGACTAAACTTTATTTATTCATATCTCTATAATATTATTTGAGAATCTCTAAACCTTTTTTATAACGACTAAACTTTATTTATTCATATCTCTATAATATTATTTGAGAAGTCAGTTTCTTACGTGTCGTGTTCACGTTAACTCTCGCAATGGTTGATTACATAGATACCCTTAATGAATTGTTAGATTTTAAGTTTATTATTAATTTTTTTATTTAGTTTCTTTTTTACTTTTTCCAAATAGCATATATAATAAAAGGAAATATTTCTAAAATTTTGAAACAAATTTAAAAAAGAAAATATATATATAATATGATTTTATTAAAAAGGAAAGTTCACAAAATAGGAATATACCCCATTAATATATATTTTTAAATAACATATAGTATATTTTCAAATTAATAAAAATATATATGTTCATAATCCAAAATTTATCAGTTACACTTTATTTTCTAATATTTTTTAGAAATCAACATATAATTTGATAAATATTATGAAAATACTTGTATATTTAAGCGATAAATAAAACTAATTTGACTTGACTTAATTAAAATAAGAAATAAATAAATATTATGAAAATACTTGTATATTTAAGCGATAAATATAACTAATTTGTTTGGACTTAACTAAAATAAAAAATAATTATACTTCAATTTTAACTCAATATACTCATAATTAACATCCAATATAACTTAATTTATATCCAAAATTAAACATTTAACTACAATAACAACACATAATTTTATGGTAATAATAATCTATTTAATTTTCTACATATAAATTAGAGGTTGACTCAAAGCATATCAAAAAGAAAAAGAAAATATTAAACAATTATAATTTATTCTTTTGTAGAATTTGTATATATGCATGAGACTTTAAAATATTATCATTATATTCATTTATGTAATTTTGAATCAAACACCTCAGCTTATTATTTATTTTAGTTTAAGCACAATATATATATATAGATATATTAAGTTATATATAATTTAACTATAATATATTTACATATCTAAGAATATATTTACATATGTAAGACAATAACAAACCGAAATGAAAAGAAGAAAATTGATCAAAGTCTTATTATATTTACAATAAAAATATTAAAGCTGAATTCAAAAAATAGTTATTATCCAATATACCAAATTGATAACCAAACAGACTATTGATCTAAAAAATAATTGAACCGACAATAATATATCCAAAGTCATATGCATAATTAGAATAATTTAATATTTATTAATATAAATTATACATATAAATTTATACAAAACTAAATATCAATCAATTATTATAAATTTTACTTTTATGAATATTTATACCCGTGCATGAGCACGGGAAAATCACCTAGTAAAATAGTATTAAAGAAACTTTCAAATAAGAAAAAAAACATTACAGATTTAGTAGGACAGAACAACACCACAAAGGAAGTAGAGTTTAAAGAAGAGTTGACTGTTCTTCGAGCATCATATGTAATATCAACCATGTGTTAATGTAAGATAATCAAGCTATATCAAGTATAACACATAGTAGTACATGGTCAATTCTTCACAAGAAATACGACTAGATTAATCCTTTTAAAAGTACACAAAGTTCTTTATAAAAGAAATTAAACAAACAAGCTCAAGACAAACCTTGACTTGTTTGACTAGCCTTACACGTTCAAAGACTTACAACAGTCTCTGAACTACTTAAGCTTCTAACCCCTAGATGCTTTGTCTCTCCTTCTCCGGACTTACAAAACCTCTCTTGCTAAAAGCTCTCTGTGTGTGTTAGTTTTCTTGCAACTCCTAGGTCTCCTTTTTATGTGCGGAGGCATCCTAGATTTGCACATCTAACATCGATGGAAACTTTCCATTTCCTGTTCTTCAGCGAATAAGTCAATCTCCCTTTTCTTCAAGATTCGATTGGCTCTTCCTCAAGTCTTTCCTTTCTACTAAAGACTTCAATAACTCTCTTATTAATACCCCCTCCAGAACTCGTGCTTCTCTTAATCACTCGTCTTGTAGTCATAGTTCATGTCGCACTTCATGAACTACTTCCGCACTGCTACATCACCATCTTGAGCATACATCTTCAATCTCCCCCTTTTTAATTCATTGTCTCACAAGTACCTGAAATGTAATGCCACGAAGAATCCAACCATACAAATAACAAATACCCTGCCTTTATGAAAGTAATAACTAAGATACTCGTGACTAATAGAAAACATACTTATATTATCCTAAGAAAAAGTCTGGAGCAAATACATCCTTTTAAACAAACGAAGTTCATAAAACAAGCTCCCCCATAAACCAAGATTGTCTTAAAACAGAAATAACATCACGTTGCAACAAGTGGTGCAACCAAAACAACATAAACATAAACTGCTCCCCCACAACCTTAGATCCTTCTACCACTCATTCTTCCTCAGTTTCTCCCCATGCTTGTGAGCACACGGATTAAAAAACACATCACAAGACAACCAAGTAAAGAACAGAGAATAGAAATCATACCTGGAACCGAGCTCTGAAGCTCCTGAACAACCTCAACCAATGTCTGAAGAACCCGAGTGGTGTCCTGTAAGGCTGATTGCATATCAGTTCTGGTGAGACCACCCTAAGGAATCACAATAGAGCCCAGTTCATACACGGAGAGGCGCCGGGGTCTCGATCTGGAGCTTGGTGTAGGAGTTGGTGAAGCAGATGTTGGCAGATGAGACGAACGAGCAGACTTCCTTACTTTAACATCCTCCTTGGCCTTTCCCTTAGCTTTGCGTTGCTCGTAAATCTCACCAACCTGTTATCCTTCTTGTAGGCAATTGCACGATCCACTTTATCATCCGAGTGAGATGGCACCTGATGTTGCTTCTGAAGTATACCCATGATAAGACGAGGGAAGATCAGCCACCGAGAATCATTCTTCTGTATAATCCCCAGATGAATGATTTGCTTGAAGATCAGTTTACCCATATCGACACGAATTCCGTGAGCCATCTTGTAGATCAATCGTGCACGGTCAAGGGACACATGTGTCTTGTGTGTAGATGGGATCCAGTTGTGAGCTGCGATAATCATGAGAGCTCCATAGCACGGTGTAAGATCTGCTGTTGTGAGATGCTCCCACTCCTTCCTAGTCCCATCAGTGAGGAAGTCGGCAAGAGCTGTGGCAGAGACTTCATCCATGGTTGCCTCAATGTCTTCTTCTTCCGCAGTGAGTGGGTCGAAACCCAGAGCCTCATTGATCACCACCGGAGAAAACTTGTAGGAATGGGTGCGGACATCGACAATCACCTCTTCAGTGTCAGCTTCCACCTTGGTGTTTGGTAGGCCTACATAAAACTCAGCCACAACTTGCTCAACAAAAACCCCAAGAGAAGAGACAGTAGATTCCATAGCCCCTTTTCGAATAACCGCCAAGTAGCCCCATTGATATGTGTCCTCCATATCTACCAGTCGCTCAGCAATCACTTTACGCTTTAAGAACAGATCATACCATTTCTTTACCTCACCAGAAGTGAGTTCAGCACTCCGCTCAATTGTTCTCTTGGACTTACTCCGAGATAGCGATGTAGCAACCTTGGCCACCGATGGAGATTCAGATGATTCTCTCTTCTTCTGTCTCTTGGAAGAACGTTGTCCCAGGCGCTTGCAGACACGCTTTTTCCTGCTTGAATTCTCAGAAGTATCTTCAGAGGTGGAGCCCAAAGAAATGGCATCCTTGTCCGGATCCTTACTGTCGTTTTGTTGACCTAACTCAGATGCAGCTTCACTTTGATTCTTTTGAGCCAGAGTTGCCTCTGTAGCCACCGGCACCAACGGAAGAGGCGACTCATCGCTATCCTTCAGATCTACTTGCAGCTTCGGGGCACTTGTCGAAGTTCCATGTTCAAGTTCCTTCGGCGAGGTTGGAACCACATCGTCGGGGACATGCATTGACTTCTCACTCGCCTGAAGTGGATCTACTACAGCCACCGAAGTGCCTTGATTGTCACCACTGCCTTCGGACCCGGTCTTCTCTTGAGCCGTATTAAACGACTCAATCTCTTCTGTTACCTCAGGGAGTGTTGCTGAAACTGGCAATTCATTTAGCGGAGGAAGAGGCTCAGATGGACCATTGGAGAGTTGCATCCTGTGTGATTCAGCCTCTGCATGGTCATCGATCTTGGGACTTGAGGTGACTTTAGCAGAGTTCGTTGATTTACCCATCTTGATTTGGATTCCTTTAGTTGAGATGGAGAGAATTTGGAGGAGGAGGCGATTATTATAGACTTCTGAAGCACGATGGAGATTTTCTAGGGTTGTGCCCCACGACTTTCCTTAGGTGAAACAACCGTCATTAAATTTTGCACTTCTGGTCCCTGACTTTTACTCCTCTCACAAATATACCTACAACATTAGTAACATCTCTCATCCAAACATATTAGCCTCAGACACATTCGTGAATTAATAATGTATCATTAGACACTCAGAATAGCAATCTACGATGAGTTACCATGCATAATTGGCTGAATCTCAAAGAAAAAAAATCATGTTAATTACCAGTTTATGTTCATGATGTGCTGCACAAGATAGCTCAGAACCTGATTCAGTGTGCACATACGACTCTTCTAGATTGTTATGATCTGGCACACCCAAATGTCTTTTATGGCTAGCTTTCACATTGTCATGCCTTCATCAACCCTGTAGGTTTTCAACCTTTATTCGTGCGCTGTGAAACTCCCATGATTGTATGCTTTACATTGTAACACATTTTCTTGTTCAGCTGTTCTCTTTTGAGCTTTTCTAACTGCTTCCCTTTCTTTTCGGGGTAAGAGAGCCACAGATTGACACAAAACCTGTACCTTACAGAGTTGACGGCAAGCCAAGCAGCTCTTTTCCA